ACCACAAGGAAGTCGGTTGTACGAAGAACACCCATGGCCGACTGTTTGATGTTTGCCTTCGACGCTTTGCGTCACCATTCATCAGTGTATGTTAGGCCAGAGGGGACCGAATAATCTCCCAGCTAAGAAACCCACTGATATAATGGCCAATCATCCGAAGCTCATTGAACCCTTCCATGGATGCCGCTGTGACGGAAGCCACACACATGACACTCTCAATGGAGGAAGGGCCAAGGCTTGTGAAACATGGCCATGGGCCATGGCGCGCAAGATATGTGAAGGAGTCATTTTGTTGAGAACGCATTTGCAATCGTCATGCCAGCCACAGCAAGCAGCATACCCAGCAGTAGGCACTGACACTAGGGAAGACCCTGGGATTCCAGGGACCGAATCCTGGCGTGGCTGCCCAGGATGTCGAGGTCGTCAAGCCAAGACAGATCCCAGACACTCGAGAATCAGAGGCATCTGTTTGTGGCCGGATGTGCAGCCCATCATTTGGGGGTGTCCCGCGTGTGCCAGACACAAGCCACATGGACATCCATCGCACACATACGACATGAACTGCAAACATGCCGTCATCACTCATCGCACAGGTGTCCCCCGCAGTGGAAGACACCCTCGTCCCCCAGATCAGCCAGCATCGACCTCACCAACTGTAGATCTTCAACCACAGCTGGCAGATGGAACTGATTTAGGAGCAGAGGACGAACGCCGTGCTGCAGAATGCCGTGTCACGCCTGATGGACTAGTCCCTCAGAAACCACCACCTGAAGTAATACGACTAGCTAAATACCGATCCTGGACCAAGGCGTGTAACGGTAATCCCGTTCTTGTAATGTCCCACGCAGTGCAATTTGCCATCCCAGACAGTGACCGTGAGCAACATGAATACCGAACGACCTGGGCAAAAGTAGGAGATAGTTGGTATCAGTTGGAACTGGCGGTCCATTGGAAGACCCTAGAGAACCCAACGCAGATCTTGCCAGGACACGCCAAGCCTTTGATCACCATATTCCACCCAAGTCGTGACATTGACCTGACCCCGTTTTTAACGACCACCACAGACTTAGTCCCAATAGATAATACACACATCAGACCAACCCAGGCCACATTTGCGGGCCTCTGTCCCCAAGAACCGTCGAACATTCAGGGATGCCGACGCAGGAACTGAGCATCCAAGCGATTGGTCCGGGTTTGATGTCAGCAGATCGTTGAAAGCGTTGGCCACCGGAGGTCAAAACACCCGACTTCGTGAGTTGAGGAAACTCCACCTACATTGGTGGCATGCAAGCAAAGAAGCCATGAGACGTGTTCTTTCAGCAGCAGGACTCTCAAAAGAGATCCTGGACCAGGTGTCACACGTGGTCGACACATGCAGGGAATGTCGACAATGGAGCCGGCCAGCCAATGAGACAATCCCTACTCTAAGGATGACCGCTGCGTTCAACGAACATGTTGAATGTGACCTCATGTTTTATCGAGAACACGTCATCTTCCATGTAATTTGTTGTGGTACACGTTGGCACGCAGCCACAGTAGTTCGTAGCAGACGGAAGAAGAGCTGCTGTCAGCCCTGAACCGGATATGGATTGCCATTCATGGTCCCACGCAACACCTCATAACCGACTGCGAAGAAACGGCATAAGCGTTAAGGTTTCGTGCACCTGGACAGCGTGCTCGTTTCGTGGAAAGGCGAGGCGCCATCTTGAGGACCACCCTTCACTGTCTTGACAGCCAGCTAATACGTGAAGGAATTAATGCTAACATGGAGGATGTCTTGGCCGAAGCAGTTTTTGCAGGCAATGCGCTAGTGCATGTTGGGGGAGTAACTCCATACCAATGTGTGTACGGCCGTAGTCCTGCAATGCTTTCACCTCTGCCAGAGGAGACCGAAATCACGCAGAACGAGCTTGAAGATCGCTCCGACCAACTCCGACACAGAATTCGCACAGCTGCCTTAGAGGCCATGATTCACTCCACAAGCTTAGCCCGAACATCCCGAGCATTAAGGTCCCGAGCTATAGCAGCCACAGAAACCAAGTACACCAAAGGTGAATTAGTGGACTACTATCGACCTTCAACAAGCAAGGATGTTTCAGGCTGGCGCGGACCAGCAGAAGTGATCGAATACAAACCAACTGACGGTGTCGTAATAATTAAGCTTAATGGTCAGCCACGACCATGTAGATTGCAAGATGTTCGACACACGTTGTATGCACACATCTCACACCAAGTGTTTGCGAATATGACTACAAAAGAAGCTCTCGATACAATAAGAAGATTCTTGCGTGTGCTAGATGTAGGTAAATGCATCACCTTAGGACTCATTGTGGCATCTTTGGAAGGGAATACAAGAAAATATCATTCATCCAGTTGCTTCGCAACAGTGAAAACCCATCTGGATTGTGTGAGAGCATTGATGCCACCGCTGCCATCCATGGCAGGGAGAGCGAAGTGCGGGAAATAGTAGCCGACAACAGTAGTGAACGACTATCAACTATCCCCGAAGGGCCCCAACGAGGACCAAAACTCTGACATTCCACAGGAGGCATTCGTGCATTTCGTAACTCATAAACTTGGAGAATGTTCTAAAGAACTAGGTCAGAACACACTTCATGATTTGCGGATGTTATACCAAGATGCAGTACTGTATGCTGAAGATCAACAGCCCTCTAAAACTCCGATGCATTATGTAGAACCAGAAGACCCATATCACGAATTGGAATCGACGCCAGACATAAATAGTCCTCCTCAATTAGACCCCAATGAAGCCCACCTTACAGAACTGTATGTGCTGCCCAGCGTGGGCAGCTGCTTTGGTGACAGACAAAGCCTTGAAGAGGCTGAAATGTTTGCTGTCAGAATCTACAACACGGTCAGCAAGGTAGAAGTCATCAAAAGAGCATCCGACCTGTTGTCTAAAGAAGAAATGATCAAACACAAAGACAAGGTGGAGGCTGCTATTCTAGAAGAGCTTAAGATTTGGAATAACTACGGTTGCTTCAAAATGGTTCCTCGAAAAGGTGCAGTCAACATCATCGATTCAAGATTTGTTGCTAAGTGGAAAGTTAAGGACCCCAGCCAGCCATACACAAGCCGCATCATCCGTATGCGTATGGCACTAAGACGCTTTAACGATTGGTGTGCAGATTAACTCGACACTTACGCAGCAACAGGAAGCAAGATATCACAAAGATTGCTGCTGTCAGAAGCAGCGTGCCATCCAGACTGGTCGTTCCTTTCGCTGGATATTAACAAAACGTTTCTTCAAGGAATAACGCACCAGGAACTGGCCGAAGCCACCGGGCAGGATGAGCGTGTTGTTCACTTCACACTGCCCGTTGGTTCCGCTCAGATCCTCAGGCTGGTCCCTGGATTTGAAGAATACGATGAGAGATTTCATGTGCTTAAGTGCCTCAAGCCAGGTACTGGCTGTAAAGACGCACCCAGGGCGTTCAGTATGAAACTGGCTAGTGTAACCCGACAACCTAAGATAGGACTCAAGCCACTATCCGCCGACCCAGAGTGCGAAGTAAAGCATGTGAACGGTAAGTTAGTCCTTATTTTAGTCAAACATGTGGACGATCTCAAAATAGCCGGTGAAGAAAAGGAAGTTCAACTCTTGTTGAAATCTTTGGGAGAAGTATTCGGAAAGAGCGATCGAAACAACAACGGTTTTCACTTGTGTTGGAATACATCACCACCGAAAACCCGATGGCACCATTATCCTCGATCAGAATGATTACATTTCCGCACTGAAACAGATACATCATCCAGACATCACAGGAAAACCTTTGAAAGCAGACTGCAGTGAAACCGTAACCAGGCCGTATTGGTCTTTGTTAGGAGCCGTAGCGTACACTCTACTGACGCAACATTGGATCGCTGTGTACATAATTCACTTCAAAGACAGACACACAAGCGAAGTATCAACATATTCGCAGACTGAATTCATTGGTAAAGATCCTGCAAAAGCAGAAAACTGTGATTGTATACCGTTCAATGCAATGCGCTAAGAAAATACTTGCCTTCTCAGACGCATCCTTTTGCAAAGAAACTGAAACAAAAGGGTACGGAGTTCGAGGCACAGTCTTTCTTAGATGTGGCATCAGAGAAGGAAAAGAGTGCTACCATCTCATCGATGCTGTGAGCCAGAGCTTGGAACTGGTGACCCGAAGCACCTTCAGCTCAGAGACGCTTGCAGCGGTGGGAACGGTGGACTCGCTTGTTCCATTGCTGGCTTCAATGATTGAGATTTTAAACGGATCAATGTCCACACAGGAGCTCCGAACATTTCGAAAAAACTCCAAGACAGACATCCAAAGCATAGTAGTGGTAGATGCTAGGAATTTCTTTCAAGCCTGGACCGGAACATCCTTGAAGCTTCCAACCGAGAAGTCTCTGTTTCCACATATCGCATGGCTTAGAGATGTTGTGCTTTGTTGCCCATCAAATGTCGTGTGGTGCGACACTCGTGACATGTTGGCCGACTGCATGACTAAGGGCAAGATAGACCGACAGGCTATCCTCAAGGCCATGAATGGTTCTTTCGCTTTCGAGCACGAGACAAAGGAGCATTCGTTCGCACACACTTGAGCATACACACAACATATCTCATACCACAGATATAGCACCATGAACACACCCGACTGCTTTGGTACACCCGATTCTTTTACCCCTATGCCCCGCGTGAGAAAGGTTGCCCTTGTTTTCGTGTTTCTTGTGTTTTCACGTGCTGCCGAACTTTTAGCAAGTTTCAACTTCTTGTTTTTTGCTTTAAATTGAAATTCATTGAGGGTTTTTTCTCCAAATCTCGGAGCCGTTTCGAGCGGGGGTTCTTCAATGAATTTTCTCCCCGAAGAGACTGGAGCTCTAGTAGCTCTACTAGCACAGCAGCGGTGCTCTTTACTACTTACCTTCCCCCCCAAAAGACAGATGAACAGGACAAAGACCAAACCGTGTAAACATAGGATACTTCGGTACTTCGCCGATATGTCCAGGACACATCCTGAACTGGACGTGAACTGGCACGATCCGCGGATGCACGGATGCTCACTTCTGCAATGGGCCTGTTCCATGGGTGAGGAGCTTGGGCACGTGGGACACAGTTGGAGAGAAGTCATTCTTTTTCGAGGAGAATTCAACCAACTCATTGCATTTGTCGTTCTCGATGGGTTCTGTAAACGGTTCTAAATAGCCAGAACTCATTGAGAGGGCTCATATTGATGTAAACTGCATTTACTCCCTGCTCTACTCCTTTCATACGGTAGGAGGTCCAAGTCCTTGAAGAACCAAGCCGAACGGTCGAAAGTATTTGCTTGAGGTTACGAAAACGTGGCTTCTGAGCTCTTGAAACGCCGTGCAGATCCAACGCATCGCTCTGCTGGTGTTTCGTGCTTGGCTGCAGCAGCTCGGCAAAAAGTCTTGCAAGGTCGCAGAGCTCAGCATAAAGTCGCCACATCTCAACTTTGTTTAAACTAAAGAAGGGTGCAATCCTTCTGTTGTGTTCTTAGCTGCTAACTAGACCATGCAGTTACAACATGAGCACTGGATGGAACTGTTTTCAATGTGAGGCTTTGGCGCATAGCTGGCCTGGTTGCGCGGCATTGTTGCTGGGAGCTTCTGCTGATGCGAACGAGGTACTCAATGATGTCAAGGACAAAGGAATCAACCAATTTGCTTTTGCTTATATTGCTTCTTTGGCCTCAGGTGGCAGACCCTCAAGGCAAGCAGACTTTGCTGATGTGGGCATCTAGGATTGACTATGTGGATTCAGACTCTCGACAATGCTCCGCAACCACCATTGTAGCAAAAGGGATAAGCACGATCGGTTGATCTTTTGCTCTTGATTCACTGAAGTGACGGTGCCTTCTCAAACCTAGCATTTCCCATGTAGGATGTTCGTCGATCGAATCATCATCTCGAGAAGAAGTAGAATGACCCTGGTGATCAATCCATTTTGCACAGGTCCAGGCAAGAATGATCGCCAATTCAATGAGCCCTTGTCACTATTTAGCTTCCTACATTCTGCAGAGGTGCATGCTTACCTGCCTGCAGACTGTCTCTTTGTAACCACACATGCGTGCATATTGTATATACACAAAACAATACAAATAAAAATACAAATACATATACCATGCTCGTCAACCAGGATTGCCGAATGGCGCTGCATCCAAGGATGGCCGGGATGTGGAAAGCCCGCTTGTGTCTGTGTTGCTTGGACATCATGCTGATGTGCACCTCTCAGACGCACGTGGAAAGACGCCATTGATGCACGCCTGGGAGCTCAGGGTGAGCTTCACAGCGAGTTCGATGAGACTGGCTTGATGCCAATTGATTTGTCAGCTTCTCGCTGCTCCAGCTCCTATCAATTTGCACAGGCACCCTACCAACCTCCTACCCTCATTGCAAACATGGGAAGTATTTGTTGTAATAAGGTGTGCTTGGCAAATGTTGCTTACTGAGGGTGGAACAAAACATGGAGGCAGTCATTGCTCCCAACGACGAAGCATGCAGAGCCTTAAAGTACAACAAACACTCCTGACTCTTTACAGAGAGTTTGCCATAGCGTGACTCATGGCGAGAACTGCGGCAATCGACAAGCAACCAGTCAAAAAGTGGGCAGTCTTGCAACAATGCTATCATCACTATGTTGTTGCTAATCTAAATCTAGATCAGTTGTTTTCCGAAAGGTATGGCAAGCTCGGAGACAGAGCCTTTAATCGCATGGAAAAGGCAGGGTGTCACACCGGTGTTTGAGTTGTCCAGGGCTTGAGTCGTTTATTCGTTTGGCTTGGTTTTAGTTTGGGGTAGCTTCTCATGATTCCTCTCGTGCGTTGACAATTGGACAAAGAAGGTCAATTGAAGTTTAAGTTTCCCAAAGAATCTAGGAGCCAAATCATTGAGCCTGAGCCCTGCTAAGCCTAAGTAGCTTCTTGAGTCTTAAGCTACTAGTAAACTGGTAGTTGATTACCTCTTACTTAGATTCACTTTTGACCGGCAGCTCCTACCAAAAGATTAGGCCATAGACCCAGGTAGCAAAAGATTCCTTTGGGCAGCGTCCTGCAGCGGCACCAGAACACAGGCTCCAAAGCACGCACTGCCATAGGCATCTAGTAGCCCTACAGCGGTACCAGCACCCAGGCTCTAAAGCACACCCCGGCACCTCTTCCTAATGCTTGAAATAATTGAAGTCAGAACCCCAACAGCTATCAAAGCTGGGATCCGAAGGTCAATGCAGACCTATTTGTGCTGACCTACGGCTCCCTGGTCACTCAGCTACTACGCGACATTGAGGATGTGGATGCAGTGAACGCACAGTTACTTGTACCAAGCTATTCGAGTAGAGAAGCCGGGAAGTGAGAGCTGCAAAACTGAGTTTCGGTGCCTATTGTGACTGCAATCACTATACGCCTATACGCTTGAATTCCTTGTCTTGGCGTGCAATAAAAACAAGGTGTGGGCAAGGAAAATACTTGCGTGAATGAGCAAAGGCTTGACTCATAAAAGACATTTTCATGCAATGAGGGAACTTCAAGAATGTTTCATGAAGGAAAAGGTCGTTGCAGGGCCTTTCCACGGGTGGACATGGTTGTGAAGATGCTGATTGCATCAGCAAATGCAGATCTTATAGGTACAAAAAGGCAATATGATATTAGAGGCTAGAGGAAACGTTTACTTCCAATAAGATGATAAACACTTGTACGCTTTGAGACAGATGAGCCCTATAAGTGAGGGACCGTTGCGTGAAAATGCGCAGGGTATTCTTCATCCTAAAAGCCACAATTTTGGAGGGCCTCTTTCTTCACAGGGGGAATGGCACGATTGTGTGCTGCAGGCCAGGGGCGGTCTAGCTGTGTTGTTTGTTGGACGCATGCTTCGGCATACTGACCAGCTTTTTGTTTTGTGTGTAATTTCCCTGGGTCTTTTGACAACTTCACATTGAAACTTTCAGAGCGACTCTAGGCAGAACAAGGACGAAGGGAATCACCCTGCAACAAGGGTTTGCATAACACCTTGCCTACCTACCCCGATAGAATACCTATGGAATGAAACATGTCTAAACCTATCAGAAACTCTCAAAGCACGACGGGTGTCCATGTGCTGTGAACCACGTGGCTTCTATTGCCCGGACAGCAGAAGCAACTGATGTCAACAAGCGTGCATGCGTGACGCGTGTGGCTCCTACATGCTCAGACCCGCCTGTTTGGTTGGATCCTTGTTTTTGGCTCGGGGTAACGTTGAGCGAGCTGAGGCTGGAGAAGATGGGATATAACATTGGTTTGCGACTGATTGATGAGTTTCTCGCCAAGAGTGGCATCAATGCCTGCCAAGATTTTCGGGACACTTGTGAAGTCATTGCCAAGGTTGGGAGATTCTTTGCAGAACAGATTTGAGATTCATTTTGTGAAAGCTATGTCCAGTGCCTTGAGCCATATTCTGAATTCATCAAGCACAGGTGGGTCTTCGGATGTTTCTTGGCATCAGCGGCGAGGTAGTCATGTGGAACAAGGAACGGGGTTGTGAGACACTTAACGGATAACTTGGAATTAGTTATATATGCAATTTTCAATCACAGGTGTGTAGTTTTCGAGCTGACCCGAATGATTCATTGATTGCTAACCGCGAGGAGATGACTGCTTGCTCGCTGGTCTTGCCGGAAAACCCACTGGCTGAATACGTGGAGCTGCCGGCAAACCTGACAAATCGCTTGTGACTTGACTGACATGACACGTGCAACTCTTTCCTTCTTCATGTTCTGAGTGGTCAAATGGCGCATATGATTCTCCAGGTGGTACTCCAACCTCATTTGCGGCGTGATACGCGGATGCTTGGAACAGCTGCAACTGCGAGTAGAGTGTCGCTTTGAAAAAGATGCACTCAATGGTACCTTGGTTCATTTTAAATCAAGGATCTGAAGGAATCTTAAGGTTCCAGGACTCTGTTCTTTAGGGTTCACTGGGTAGGTTGGGATGGACCGCTTTTGCTAGCTGGTCTCCAAACATGGCTGCCAAATCGTTTGGAAGAAAGAGGAGAAAGGGTTCCAGGAAGTCGGATTCAGCAGAAAGAACAACAATGAAAAGCAATATTACTGTACTTCCCCAGATAGCGTGAGCTATTGGGGTTCTTACTTCAAGTATAGGAAGAGCTGCATGTGTGCGTTTTCAAGCTTGGGTGCTGGTGCGGCTGCAGGGTGCCGCTGCTGTGTGCACTTGGGAGCTTGCGTGCAGGGTGCCGCTGCAGGGTGCTTGGGCTAGTGCCGCTGCAGGGTGCCGCTGCAGGGTGCTGCTGCAGGGTGCCGCTGCTGTGTGCGCTTGGGGGCTTGGGTGCTGCAGGGTGCCGCTGCTGTATGCGCTTGGGAGCTTGGGTGCTGGAGGCGGTGGGGTGCCGCTACGTTGCCGCTGCAGTGTGCTGCTGGTACTGCCGGAAAAGTCAATTGGCTACTTGGGGTCTATGCTGGCCTAATATTTTTGTAGCAAAGCAGCTGCGGTGAAGCACTATTCATCACACGAGTGATACTGGAGCGATTGGAAGTAGTCACTGGGTGGGGTTGCTGTTCTTCAACTAGCCAGTTGCAACTGATTGGGTAATCGAAGCCATCAAGTCACCATAAGTAGCACGCAAGAAAGCCACCCAAGCTAAACCTAAAGTGAAAATTGTTGTGCGAGGAAACCTCGCTTCCGGCATACAAGAAGAAAATGAGATGAACAAAGGAAGGTAAGGCCCCCATTAATAAGGTGACTTACAGTCCTTTTCCCGTATCTTTTTATTCTTTTGTATATTCTATATATTTTTGCCTTTTTTGTTTTCCCAGGTGACGAGCACACATTGATCCGCTTAGAGCTCAAGGAGGTTCTACATGAAGAATATGATGATGACTGAGCCGCTGCATTCCAACCATCCTCAGCTGATTGTCAAAAGTCTCCTTGGCTGAGTCTCCTTGTTCATCTCCTTTCTGGAAGAAGTGACTCACCTGTAAAGTCTCGATCTGAAAGGTCTTCGGAGGCCCCGGCCAGAAGCGCACTTGAAAAAGGGTTTCTCTTCTCCGTGTGCTTTGCAGAGGCAGATTGGCCTTGTTGTGTCGAAGTTTCCCAGAGGCCTTGCTCACTCCTTCCTCACTAGCGCACTAGCGCTTCGGCCACTGAATCATCCTAATCCACCCATCACTTTGTCACCAATGACACTTTTACCTGTAAGAACAATTCCTGTGAACAGTTTCTTTGAGAAAGCTTCAACGCAAAGGCATTCATTCAATGCCATCGTTTGCGTGTCATAGAAGGATGATTCAATCGACTCTATGGTGAGATCTAGTTCAAGTCCACTTGACCTGAATCAGCAGCACTCACGTAGTAGCTGTAGTCGCTGGAGGAGAAGTATGCGTTCATCAGTGTACAAGTGTGGTCTTGTCATGTTTTGTTGGTGGGAGAGCGTGTCCAATGTATTTGCTAAACCTAACCCCAAACAAAAACCCTAAACCCTAAATGAACCATGAAAAAGAAGAGGCTGCCGCAGGGGTGCTGGTGTAGCTACGGATGGACTCGCAAACTGGTCTTTCTGAATCTCGGCCCATCCATCCAAGATCTGTCACATGAAAGCAGATCCAGGCTCTTTGCGGGCTCGACCAACCAAGACATCCAAGACTGCGATTCACCCACCGTGTTCACCCGGAACGTTCGAGGCCAACCCCAAATGCTTCCTAAGTGAGCTGGGAGGTGCGAGGAAGGCGAACAGAACCACAAGAGACGTAGAACACATTTTTCCTATTTATTAGTAACAAGAAGCTACTAGGAGCAAGGGCATCGCTACTAGTAACAAAGGGCATCGCTACTAGGAGCAAGAGCATCCCTGCTAGTAACAAAGGGCATCGCTACTAGGAGCAAGGGCATCGCTACTAGTAACAAAGGGCATCGCTACTAGGAGCAAGGGCATCGCTACTAGTAACA